GCAGGTTGCAGCCCAGTGTGAAGCGGCCGGGATGAGGATCAGCACCCTTTCAAATCCGAGTCCATTGTTCTCCGAAGGAGAAAGGTGGACTCCCCTCTTAAGGAAGGAGGAAAGTTCTTGTCTCAAGTGGAGGAGTTCAAGTATCTTGGGGTCTTGTTCCGTGATGCACAGAGCGTGAGATCGATAGACGGATCGGTGTGGCATCGGCGGTGATGCGGTCGCTGTATCGGACTGTCGTGGTGAAGACAAGGAGTTGAGTCGGGGGGGGGCAAAGCTCTCGATTTACCAATCAATCTACGTTCCCACCCTCCCCTACGGTCATGAGACCTGGGTAATGACCGAAAGGACAAGATCGCGAATACAAGTGGCCAAAATGCGTTTCCTCTGCAGGGTGGCTGGGCACATCCTTCAAGATCGGGTGAGGAACTCGGTTACCCGGGACGAGCTCGGAGTAGAGTCATTGCTTCTCCGCATTGAAGGAGCCAGCTGAGGAGGCTCGGTCATCTGTTCCAGATGCCCTCTGGTTGCCTCCCTCCATGTGTTCCAGGCATGTTCTATTAGGAGGAGGCCTCATGGAAGGCCCAGGACACGCTGGAGGGCCTGGTGTCGCCTCAGGGCCCTTCCAGAACAGCTGGAGGAGGTGTGTGTGGATCGGGAAGTCTGGGCATCTCTACTTAGACTGCTGCCTCCGCGATACGGCCCCGGATAAAATGGAATCAAAAGCATTGGTTCAGTGGAGCAGAGCAAGAACCACTAGAAACACAAACAAGGAAAATGTCATTACAAACTCCCAGCAGGGCCGAAACACATTTATGATGTTATTTTCATCATGGAAAGATTTTAATCGAGAATGAAAAAGGTTTTCTCAGATTATGACCGTAGAGAAATGGGCCTAAAATTCCCCAATATAAAATGTATAAACAGTGAAATATAACATGCTACAGATGAAAGTTATGATAAAAATGAAGAAACAGGAAAAAACAAATGAGCCGATATTGATTTTTATTGTTTAGATGTATTGGTTAACATAAATATTATCATCTGCATCTAAAACAAGATTATTCTAATGTACACAACCTTATATTTCTGCAACATGCAAACAGGGGCAGATTTAGGACATTTGGGGCCCTAGGCAAAGACAGGCAGGGGGCCCTCTGAATGGAGAAGACAACACATAAAACAGCCCCATTCTACAGATAGAGAAATGTTAATAGAATAGACATCCATTATTTGAGACACACTTAATATTATCAGCGTTCTGATGGTATTTTAGGATTTTTATCAAAATTATAATTAATGTGCACAAAGGAATAGTTGTATTGAACATACATGTAAACAAATATTTGCAGGGCCCCCAGGAACTTGGGGCCCTAGACAACTGCCTACTGCAAAAAAATGAAATCTAAATAAGTCATTTTCTTCTTAAATTAAATGCATTTTTTCTTGAATTAAGGATTTAAGTGAGACACTTTGCCAATGGAACAAGACAATTTACACTTAAAATAAGAAAAAACAATTGCATTGTCTTATTTCAAGTGCATTTTATCTAGATACCTTATTTCAAGAGTAAAAATACTACTTCCATTGGCAAATCAACTTATTTACTTGCTCAAATTAAGGGTATAAACCCTTAATTTAAGAAATTTTTACTCATTTTGAGATCATTTTTGCAGTGCTTGCCTAATGGTAAATTACCCCCCCTGCATTAAACCCAATTTCAATAAGTCCAACACACTGATGCTCTGTGGAGCATATCTGTGGATAACTTGATGTTTAGTTGTTTTTTTTACAAATGATGAGGTGACGGTGGAATCAAACCTTCAACCTTCCTGACGCAGGTCACTGAGCCACAGTCAGTGTCACAGTCATTTATAAAGAGAAGAAAACATTTCATTTAAATGTAGCAAAAAACTATTTTTCTATTAAGACACATTTTTAAAGAAAGACCAAAGTTTAGAAACATCCTTTGGTGGATTGGAAGCAGAAAAGCTTGGCTAAGAAATCCAGACAAAAACAATTCAAATGTCAACCCATCCAACACATATATAAATCACAAAGGCTGCAAAAGCCAAAATATATCCTACAAAGAACAAGGTGTCGATTATTATAGCCACTCTGGTGTAGAATCCAGGCGACCTCTGACCTCCAGCTTCCTGTTGAGCCGCCTTCAATTCCTCCAGGACCTGTTTCAGCAGATCGGCATGGCCGAGTTGACCCAGAGGGAGAGCGCCTTGCTCTGGTTTGACTTCTCCGTTCTCTGAGTCGCCCTCTGTGTCAGGAACAGAAGGATATTGATGCAGATTATTGTTGTTATGACAGCAGGTGTATTTAACACCAAACAGCAGAGCAAATGAACAGCCTTTCATTAAACTGTTGTTTTCTATAAACCGCCCGCTCAAACTTTTTCATCTCCTCTTCTCAATGTTTCTTCTAGAATTCTGAAAAACTCTTAAGCAAAAGGCATTTCATATAATCTATAACATCAGACAACAGTAACCTAAATGCACTTCAATACAGCAGTCTGCTAATGATGAAAGGGAAACATGATGGGAGGAGTGGACATATTTGCCTTGTTGTGGGGATCAAAGAGGCAAACGTCTCAGTTTTCTCGTCCAAATGGATCAAGACTCAAGTGGCTGAGCTCAGCTGTCTTCATTTTCTCGGTTGGACTCACCCTTAAATATAGGATGAGAAAAGCTATGCTATGCTATTCTGCATAGAAAAACCAACTTAAGAGACTCCAGCATCTGCTCA